AATGCAGTAGATGAAATTATTCTCAAAATTTGTATAAATATAGTTTCTTTAGTTTTGAATTTTTTATCCTGCCAGAGTTTGAAACCTTAAAGAAAATGCTTTATTAAAAAACTAAAATATTATCTGCTGGCCACACCGCATTTCTTACTTACAGGTTTCGTTAGCCGATGGTGACAGTCAATTGCAGTGGACAACTATTTCCAGATTCAGATTTTCAATCCGTTTCAAGTAATAGTATATGTAGAGGTTTTCAAATTATATCTCTTCCTGCAAAGTGACTAAGTCACCAACTGCCTTGCTCCTGTTAGCACTGCCTTGGCGTAGCTCTCTGCTATTTGGATAGTTAAAAACAATTATAGGTTATAGGTGTCCTCTTTCGCCACAACTAAAACAATCAAACAAATAGAACAATAAGAAGAAAATACTGCATAAGAAAGGAAATAAACATGTTGATTAGTAGCAGCCCTAGTGGCTAGCTTAAAAGTGAGTGGTTTGAACTATGCGGTGTTCCCTTGTGAGAAAGATCTGACAATCAACGTCAGTAAAGCTTAAGAAAAGCTTGTGGGACAGTTCCAGGCTGTCACGTGATGTGAGTATGAATTGGAATAGAGGAGAGAACACAACAACAATTTGATTCAAATGCTTATTAAACTTTATAGTATTTCCATGGAGGAAAACCATGTAATGGCCAAGGAATCTTGTAATTAATATTTATCTGGGTGTTTCCTAGATAGCATTAAGAGTGCTCTTAATTTTCCCCTCTCCTATCTCTCCAACCATGCAAATCACCAGACTTTGCTAATGTGTCCCTAACCCCTCCTCTCTATTAGTAATCCAGTAACTATTAAGAATAAAACTCTTAATATGTTGATTTGCTTTCCAGTAAGAAGTACAATATAAAGGATCACTTATTCTAAAGAAGACATTCTAAAAATGCATGTGTTTTTCTTATTTTGATATTCGTAATCTTCCAATTACTCTTTTAATATATAAGAAACCAGACCCTTGACAGGGTCTGATAGTACATAAAATTATACATAGGTAAAGACAGTAAGTCAAAAGGCAAAATTAGTAGATAGTTTCTGAAGCATATATAATCATGATGGTACAAGCACAGACTTGTAACTCTAGAATTACTCTCTTCATGAGTCAAGATAAAAATTTAAAACGAGGCTCAAGTAGAAAGAAAATGATTTGAAAATGATGATGGCCACATATGTACAAATGTGCTTGATACAATTGATGTATGGATTGTTCTAAGAGTTGTAAGCACTCCCAATAAAATGATTTACATATTTTTAAAAAAATTTAAAACGAAATAAAAATGTCATGAATAAGTACTATTAGTAAAGTTCCAAAATAAAATAAACCCGCAAATTATATAAAATTATAAAATATTATTGTTGTGGTTTCCAACTCATTGCAATATGAGCAGTCTTCAAAAAGTTTGTGGAAAAATTGAATATCTTCTAATTACATTTTCCCAAGAGTTTTTAAAAGGCCTTTGCATATCCAGCCAGCAGACTCCTGCCCGATCCTGGACCCCACTCACAGGTAGTGCTATGTTGGAGTCCATCGTTGTAGCCAGTGTGTCCATCCAGCTCACTGGGGATTTTCCCGATTTTCACTGACCCTCTACCAAACACGAAGTCCTTCTCTAGGAACCAAAATCAGCGAAAAGTTTCACCATCCTCACTTCTAAGGACCATTCCGCTTGTACTCCTTCCAGGACACATTTGCCGGTTCTTCTAGCAGTCCATGGTACATTCGATGTTGTTGGTCAACACCACAGTCCAAGGCATCATCAGTTCCTCAGTCTTTGTTTGGTTTTTGCATGCACAGGAGATGACTGAAAAATGCCATCGATTGAGTCAGGTGCACTGCAGTTTTCAAAGTGACATCTGTGATTTTTAATACTTTGAAGAGGTCTTTTGCAACATATTTACCCAAAAAAGTTTGTTGTTTGAATTCTTTATTATTATTATTATTAGTTGGGATTTAATATATATATCAAATCATGCCAAATTTCAACCACATCGAGCAGAATGTACAATTGCTACCACAATCAGTTCCCAAACATATTTGCAAACTGTTTGAATTCTTAACTGTTGATTCTCTGAGAACTGATTGGTGATCCAAGTAAAATGAAATCATGGGCAACTTGAATAATTTCTGTTTATTAATGTAGTTGTGAGGATTTTTGCTTTTGCTATGTTAAAGTTTAGTCAATACCTAAGGATATTGTCTTTGATCTTTAGTCATTAAGCAGTTCAAGTGCTTCTCACTTTGAGCAAGCAAGGCTATATACCTTTCTACAATCCTGATATCGAGTTCTTCATTAGGAAAATTTTTCTCAGAGTACATATTTAATAAGTAAGCTGGAAGAATAAACCCTGAAACACATCTTTTCTGATTGTAAACCACTCATTACAGTCTTGATTTTGCTCTATGGATGGGGTCTGTATAAGCACATTTGTGTGTTCTGGAATTTTCATTCTTCTCAATATTATTCATAGTTTTTTAAAAGAATGATTCACAGAATTGATTGCCTTTTCATAATCAATAAAATACAGGAAAGTATATGATATTATCTTCTTTCAGCCAACATCTATTTGATATTGTCAGTGAAATGTCTCATTCCAAATCTTCTAAATCTGGCTTGAATTTCTGACAGTTCCTTGCTAATGGGATGTTGCAAAGGGGTTAAATTTTTGTTAGCCAAATTTTACTTGTATGTAATATTAATGATAATATTTTGATAACTTCCACATTTCCTTGGACACTTTTTTTAGAATGGGTTCAAATATGGATCTTTTGCAGTCTATTGGCCAAATTGCTCTATTCCAAAATCATCCTACACAAGTGATCACTTCCAATGCTGCATTATTTTGTTGATAAATTTCATTTGGTATTATTACACCAATTCTGGAAGCCTGGTACTTTCCCAATGCCTTAAGCACAACTTCTTAAATCAAACATGACAATGACTGGGAAAATGTTAGAAATTCTTTCTTAACTGAAGAATTGCTTCTATGTATGTATGTACATTCCCGTTACCACTCCCCCCACCAATATCTTCATGCTCGCTAATATTCAGCCTCCATTGTAATTTTAAGGTAATTGTCAATTCCATTGTCTTGCCCTTCATCCAATTATTTGGCTGAGGTTCTTACAAAAGAGCCTCTGCCAGGCCACCCTTCTATAACTGCATCCTATGTCACCCAAACCAAACCAAAAAACTTACTGTCTTTGATTAAATGAATTCTGACTCATCATGAACCTGGTGGAGAGAGAAGTACAGTAAAACTCCGGGCCTTGACACTCGTCTGCTCTAGAAGAAGTATCTAGATGCATCAAGTTCTGCATCAATTTTTCCAATAAGAAACAACTGAAAATGGATTAATCCATTCTCGACCACCAAGTTTTTACCCTAACCTAGCCTTTTTATACAAAACATTACACAGAAATTCAAAGTAAAGTTCAGAGTTAAATAATATCACTTAAATAAGAAACATAATATTAGAAAAGTTTTTCACAACTACAAGATGGCCCATACCTTGAAACTGAGGAGGATCTGGATCTGTGGACGCGGATGTGGAGAGGAGGGATGGAGAGAGAGTCATTGTTTGGAAGGGGA